CACCAAACGTGAGGAGTTAGGGAAGGAAAACTCAGAGTTTGTTACAGGCTCACCACAGACAGTGGTATTTGGCATATCCAAATGATGCCCAGCCCCTTTGGGAGTTTACTATTTCTTTTGGTACTTGAATGTTAGAAATTTAAATTTGGTCTTCCTCTTCTAGCTGTATTTTTGCTTAGAGCTAACGTGTACACAGTACCATTACTTTAAACAACATGAATGGCATATTTCTGCACCTCCTTTCTGGTAAGCAGTTAGACAGAACTGTAATCTTAAGTGTCTTTTCTTTGCCACCTTTTCTATTTTACACATTTTATGAAGCCAGTTATCATACAGTAATTTTCTTTTCTGTAAAGAATTACAAGTCCTCTATCATCCCAAAATTTAAATCCTACCTAAGTTGTGTAGATTATCAGGAACATCACAGCATGTATTTTTTCCGCTCATTTAAGTCCACCTTAAATCAGAAATGTTTGTCTTTGAAACTTTCAGGCAGTTCTCCTGCGCTTCTGCATGACAGGCATGAGGCTACCTGCACAGTGAATGCCGGACTGTAAGAGCAGGGTCTCATCTGCCCCATCCTTGGAAAGAAAGATGGCACGGCAGAACTGCAGAGTGCAAAAGAAAGGTTGTGAGGCTACACAACAGGGTCAGAGAGGTTATGGAAAGCAAGAAGGTATCCTCTGAAAACCTGATGTCTGTATGCAAATGAAGAAAACAGAAAGGATCATAAACTCTAGCAGATTAAATGTGAAAGTGCAGAATTGAGGCTAAAAAAGAGTTTAAGGGGCAGTTCGCAAAGGAATCAAAACCAACAGTAAATCTTTCTTCACATCAGAGCAAGAAGCCTGTAAGGCCAACAGATGATCAAGACGTGAAAGGAATGTTCAGCCAAGTTAAGGCCTTTGCTAACAACCTAGAAATATTTTTTTGGCATCTGATGTTCATAGTGGAAGAAACCGGGAACATTCCCACACTGAAATCTTACTTTGTGGAGGCAATCATCAGAGAATCTCTCTGAAATTGTAGAGAATGTTAGGGTTACTGCTAACCTATGAATACTAACTCATTACCAGAACTGGATAACGATTACCCAAAAGCTGTAGAGGAGCCGGAAGGTAAAATAGCCAGATTAGCGACAGTCGTGTGTAACCTTTTGCTTTGTGTCTAATCAGTAACTGAGTGGCAAATACAATGACAATTTTTAAAACGGGTCCCAGGGAATGCTGGGCAACCAGGCCTGCCAGCCTGATGCGTACACCAAGCAAATTACCAGAAACTGCAATAGCAGTGGCATGTTGGAATGGACATATAAATATTATGTACATGGGAGGATTCAAGATTGCTTTTGTAAAGGAAATCCTACTTCTCAGAAAACTCTGGGGTTCTTCAAAGGAGAAGGTCGACAAGCATGTGTGTAAACATGATCCAGTTGACATAGTCTACGATTTCCAAAAGGCATTTGACAAAGTTCCTGACCAAAAGCTTTTGAGGA